ATCCCACAAGCCGTGCAGCGTGGCCCAAAAAAAGGCTAAAATGGCAAATTTTATGTTATATATATCTTACCATAATAAAAAAATTCTATAAATACACTTGGAGGATTTAAGAGAAAAAAGAGGTTAAAATATTTCATTACTTATTTTATACTGATTACATACTGAAATAATATTTTCAACATGAGGTTAAATAACTAAATTTTTTTTTTAACTAAATTAAAAAAATGGGAAAGTTTTCAAAACGACCAATGCAGTTGCACAGAGCCCTGTGTTCAGACAGGCCAGTGCTGGGGTGTAATCCCTGTTGTCAGCATTTTGAAAGTGTTAATAATCTCATCTTTGAATTTGTTTTATAAAGTGAAGTCTGATAGGACCGTGGAGCATGTGTCAGGGGCCTGAAGCGTCAGCTCACGCGTGGTCCTACCTCCACTGTCCTGGGACAGATTCTGTCCCTGCTCTCAGTCTCCACAACCCTCCTAACTCCCCTCACCCTGCAACCACTCCTAGACTCTTGTCCACCACCTGGGGCAATAACCAAGTTGTCAAGAGGTCCATATTCCCCAGTCGCCCTGGTGGGAGCCAGGAAGACCCGGGGAGAGGAGGAGGAAGGTGGTAACCAGCCCAGCCCTGGACTGGCAGCACCAAGGTGTTTGGTAGATAACTTGGGGCCTTGAGCCCACCCTGGATCCAGGCAACAGAAGCATCCTGGCACAGAAGCTGCAATCTCTTGGGAGTCACCCATCTGCTGTGGGTTGGGACAGTGCGCCTATGGCCCTGCATTTTCATTTTGCACAGTGCCCTCCAAATTATGTAGGTAGCCTCTAAATTAACTGATCAAATGTTAACTTTTTTTTTAATATCTTGATCTAATTTATTTTATTTTATTTTTTTTTTTTTTTTTTGCGGTATGCGGGCCTCTCACTGCTGTGGCCTCTCCCGTTGCGGAGCACAGGCTCCGGACGTGCAGGCTCAGCGGCCACGGCTCACGGGCCCAGCCGCTCTGCGGCATGTGGGATCCTCCCGGACCGGGGCACGAACCCGCGTCCCCTGCATCAGCAGGCGGACTCTCAACCACTGTGCCACCAGGGAAGCCCTATTTTATTTTTTACATTTTTATTTTATTTATTTATTTTTGGCTGCACTGGGTCTTCATTGCTGCGCGTGGGCTTTCTCTAGTTGCAGTGAGCAGGGGCTACTCTTCGTTGTGGTGGGCAGGCTTCTCATTGCGGTGGCTTCTCTTGTTGTGGAGCATGGGGTCTAGGCATGCGGGCTTGTGGCACGAGGGCTCAGTTAGTTGAGGTTCACGGGCTCTAGAGCGCAGGCTCAGGAGTTGTGGCGCACAAGTTAAGTTGCTCCGCGGCATGTGGGATCTTCCTGGACCAGGGCTCGAGCCCATGTCCCCTGCTTTGGCAGGCGGATTCTTAACCACTGGGCCACCAGGGAAGCCCCCAAATGTTAACTTTTTAAAAAACTCCTCAAGATACTCTAAGGAGTAGCAGGGTTTACATCTATTTTTAGAAAAGGAGATAAGGTTCTTGGAAGAGCCTATTTCCCCTAAGATTCACTTTTCTCAGCCAGGCTTTTGACAAGAACTGTACAGCCTACGATTTGAGGGCCTAACTCTTAGGATAAGTGGAGTCGTATATACCTTGGAAATCAGAGAAGGCAGAGTGATTTCTCACTATGAAATCTGAAATGCTGGCTAAGGAAACGGAAAGGACCACATGGACAGGTGTTCCCAGGGCTGACTCTCTGTAAGCACCCACAGACTTCAGATAAATTCCTTCTTGCTTAACTTAACTTGGTCAGTACTGGTTTTCGTTGCTTGAGACCAAGAGACTCTAAATAATACAATGGATTAAGAATAAATGCATTTGACATGGAAAGAAGTTCTTCATATGAGATTCAGAGAAAAGTAAGAACAAAGCTACAAGTATAGTATTTTATAGTTAGATCATGTCCTGTTTCTAAAAATCTGCAAAGATATAACAGTGTTTACCATGGAGATTCTGGGGTAACGGTTTACAATTGAGTCATTTTTTTCCTCTAAGTTTGTGTATATTTTCTAATTTTTCTATAATGAACTTCTACATTGCTTGAATTTTCAAAAATTTTGCAAAATATAGGACCAACTACAAATTAATAAAACAAAAATTTTCCCCCAAAAGAAATAGTAAAATTTAACCCAATAGCTAATTAACAATTCTGGTATGCCATTCAAATCTCTTACTTTTCTCTTGTGAAGTATGTATGTTTCTGTGTCACTATAGTCTTGGAAAGAAAAAGTAAACAGTCCTGAACAAATTCAGATGAGTAAACAATTCTTAGGCTGACTGAGGAAGCAAGTTAGTGAGGAATGTCCAGTTTTACGCCATGTCAAAAACAAAGGACTCCAGGATGAAAAATTTTAGTTGTTTCTGGCATTTTACCTAAAAATAAAACTAATTCTGTAAAAATTCCATTTAAAAAGTAAATTCACATTAAAGGAGACTAAAGAGAGATGACAACCAAAGGCAATACCTGACCCTAAATTGGGTCCACCACTGACAGGGGGAAAAATGCTATAAATGATTAGACAAAAATGTCATATCCATGTTAAATTTACCTAAGTTCATAACCATCCTGTGGCAATATAAGAGACTAATCTTATTCTTAGAAAACACACACTTTTAAGTATTTAGGTAATAAGGGTCATGAGATAAGCAACCTACTTAAGCGGCTCAGGGAAAAATACTACACACACACAGCACAGGCAAAAGTGTGCAAATATTAAAGCAAATGGGAGAAAATGTTAACAACTGGTAAGTCTGGGTAAAGGGTAATGAGTGTTCCCTGTACTATTTTTATTCTTGTAACTATTCTGTAAGTTTGAATTATTATTTCCAAATAGAACAGTTTTTTAAAAAACTGAATTCACTTAGCCTAGTGTGATGGGGGTTAATCAACTGGGTTGTGATTCTAAATTCCATGTTCCTGAAATATTCTTTCTAATTCCACTGGAGAATCCTACCCTATCTTTAAAAACATGGGGACTTCCCTGGCAGTCCAGTGGTTAAGACTCTGTGCTTCTATCGCAGGGGGCACAGGTTCTATCCCTGGCTGGGGAACTAATATCCCTCATGCCATGCGGCACAGCCAAAAATAAATAAATAAATACACAAATAAAAACAAACAAAAAACAGTTCAAATCTCATCTCCTCCATAAAGGCTGTTCTAGCCTCCTCAGCTAGAAGTGATCTGTCTGTTTCTCACTATGACTGTTTCAAGTTTGTCTCAGCTCCTGCTAGACTGTCAACCCCCTTCAAGGGTAAGTATCCTGACTAATTCTCTACATTCCCTGGAACGAGGACACTGAGGCCCAGAGAGTCACAGATGTGCCCAAGGCCACACCACTAGCTGCTAGCCAGGACTAAAGTGAAAGCCACGCCTTCATCCCCCAAATATTCCAAAGAGAGTTTCAGTCTGTTACTGAAGGCACTGCTATACCTTCAGGGCACATTTTTTGAGCATCTACCGCGTGCCAGGCACCATTCCAAAAATTTTCTCATAATCATTTGAAATTTCCTCAGTCTATATATATTGTGCTCTTAGCTTGTTATTTTTATATTCTCTGCAAATATTACTTAAACTCACATACTTATCTATTATTAATGGACTATGTGTCCACTATCTACCTTCTCAAACCTGTCTCCAAAAGATTATCCTGCTTTCTTCCTCATGCATAAAATATGACTTACAGACAGAGCTGCAGGAACAATGACAGCGCTCTCACTTTAAGACTGCTCTGGAACAACAGTGTCTCAGAGCTTCCAATTCAGTATCTCCTCCAACCTTTTATTTCCAAATAAACTTTCAGGCACAGTCTGTTATTGAAAGTACTTCTCTACTTGGGTTTTACTTTCATTCATTCACTTGAAAAATATTTGTTAAAAAATATATATATGTTAAGCATGTACAGGTAATAGAGTGGATAACAAAACAATGTGGTGCATGCCTTCTTACATTCAAGTGAGGGATACAGATAAACAAATAACATCAGGTATTGCAGGAGCTCTGAAGAAAGAGCAGGTAAGATAGATAACAAAGTGAAAAGGGCAGCATTTTAGGGGGAAGATCTCTCTGCGGTGGTAATGTTTGAAGATAACTATTTGAGGTCTACCTTTGAGAAATTTTACTTTAGAGCAAAAATCAATTCTGACCATTAATGAGAATCCTGGTTAAGTATTGGTCTTTCAGCATCAGAACACCTGAACACCTTTTTATAAATAAAAGTCAATCTGGTTCAAAGTCTGAGATTTGAAAATTAAGAAACTGAACTCTTCCCAGGCCAATAACACCTTGAATCGAATTCTTCACAAGTCTGAAAAATTCAAAGCAGACACGGTCCCTATTTCAATAGCTATGAATTAAACATGCATAGAATTATAAGTGGCTACAAAGCTACAAAGCAAGCTTTATTTAACAATTTTTATTTCTTTATGCCGGCCATATATTCTCCAGTTATAAGAAAAGATAAAATTATATGAGAACATAATTTATCAATAAAGTGTGTGACTGTGACCTTAATTTTTAAACTTTTGTAAGACTGAATGTATTAAATTCACAAATCAGAAAAAAACAAAAGAAAACAAACAACCCTATCATACAAGTATGCATCCCCATTTGACCATCACTGACAAAATTGAGTTAGTTTTCTTCTGATAAAATAATTTATGTAATTCAAGACACTCCCCTCAAAAAACAAAAATATGTTGCAACTAATGACTATAAACAGTCCCTCCTAAAAGTAACGTTAAAAACTGGAAGAGCCTAAAGTAGCCCACTTTAAGTCAAAGACATGAATAAAAACGAATGCTATTCCCACGGCTCATTTCAAGAGTCGGCAATTTCCATCTTGAGGCATCTTACCCATTCTCCAAAACCTCCCAGTTCAAATCTCACCACCCCCAGTATCTCCAATATTACTGTCTTCTCTTAATCTGTTACTTATGCCTTCTTACCTTCAGCAACTCTTTGCAGCTGTCAAGCCCAATATCCATAAGAATGCTTTTCACCTTTTTCCGTACCTTCCTGATGTTGTCAAGATTCTCCACGGGAATTTGAAACATTTTTGAAATTTTCCTTAAAAGGGAAGAAAACAAAACTGTAATAAGTACATATACACATACACACACACATAAAATTTTTTAAAACAGGGCTGGTAAAGCAGAGTAATTTTTATTCTGGGACAATTAGATTTCCACATACAAAAGAATGAAGTTGGACTCTTCCCTTATACCATATACAAAAATTAACTCAAAATGGATCATACATGCACATGCACAAGGTGAAATTTTAAAACTCTCAGAAGAAAACATAGGCATAAATCTTCATGACCTTGGATTTGGCAATGGATTCTTAGATATGACACCAAAAAGCACTAGCAACAAAAGAAAAAATAGATAAGTTGGACTTCATCAAAATTAAAGACCTACCTGCTTTGAAGGAAACCATCAAAAAAGCAAAGAGAATCCACAAAATGGGAGAAAATATTTGTAAATCTTACTTCTGATAAGAAACTTATATCCAGAATACATAACAATAATTAAAAGGCAAATAAAAAACCCAACTTAAAAATAGGCTAAGGGGACTTCCCTGGTGGCGCAGTGGTTAACAATCTGCCTGCCAATGCAGGGGACATGGGTTCAATCCCTGGTATGGGAAGATCCCATAAGCCGCGGAGCAACTAAGCTCGTGGGCCACAACTACTGAGCCCATGAGCCACAACTAAAGAGAAGCCTCGTGCCTCAACGAAAGCTCCCACATGCCTCAACGAAGATCCTGTGTGAGGGAACATTATGCTATGTGAAAGGAGCCAGACACCAAGGACCACATATTATACGATTCAATGTATATGAAGTATCCAGAACAGGCAAATCTATAGAGACAGAAAGGAGAATACTGGCTGCTTAAGGCTGAGGTGGACTGGAAGGTGATGGCTAAGGGGAACAGGGTTTCCTTCTGGAATAGTGACAGTACTCTAAAATCGACTGTGGTGATGTATGCACAACTCTGTGAACCCACTAAAAGCCACTTAGTAAGTACACTTTAAATAGGTGAACTGGGGACTTCCCTGGTGGTCCAGCGGTTAAGACTCCACGCTCCCAATGCCGGGAGCCTGGGTTGGATCCCTGGTCAGGGAACTAGATCCTGCATGCCGCAACTAAAGATCCCGTGTGCCTCCATGAAGATCCCACATGCCGCAACTAAGACCCGGCAGAGCCAAATAAATAAATAAATAATTTTTTTAAAAAAAGGTGAAGTGTATGGTATGTAAATTACATCTCCATAAAGCTGTTTTTAAAATACCTGAAAAAGCATAAAATTAAAATAAATCCTGTGGTACTTGACCATGATAAGAGGTGTAGCTGTGACCTCATTATTTTTAACACATACATAGATTAAAAATAAATACATTTGTTAATCTGTCTGTGTATATTGTATAGCTCTGTCCACTGCGAGAGCCTGGAAGCAGTTACACACCCCAGTAGCAGTGAGCACTCCTTGGGCCCAAATCTTTTCTTTTTTTTTTTTATTTTATTTATTTATTTACTTATTTTTGGCTGCGTGGGGTCTTTGTTGCTGCGCCCAGGCTTTCTCTAGTTGCGGACAGAAGAGGCTAGTCTTCATTGCAGTACGGGGGCTTCTCATTGCGGCGGCTTCTCTTGTGGCAGGGCATGGGCTCAGTAGTTGTGGCACACGGGCTCAGTTGTTGTGGCTCACAGGCTCTAGAGCGCAGGCTCAGTAGTTGTGGCTCATGGGCTTAGTTGCTCCACAGCATGTGGGATCTTCCCAGACCAGGGCTCGAACCCGTGTCCCCTGCATTGGCAGGCAGATTCTTAACCACTGTGCCACCTGCGAAGTCCCTCAAATCTTACTTTCTAAATACCACTTTCCATTAAAAGGAAACAGGGCTCCTTGGAAAAAACGGCTGATTCTAGGGCTGGAGCACATAAAAGACAAGATGAGCCTAGAATGTCTTATGCCAGAAAATAACGAAGTTGCTCAAAGAATGGTGAGACATGTCAAAAGGACTGAAAAGAAGTCAAGCGCTTGAAGAAGTTCCCACAAGCCAAATGTGGGACAATGTGGGTACCAAATAAGTAATGACAATAACAGATTAATCTGTGGCACTGAATTTTCCAAAGATAGCGTAACAGGATCTCCCATCCCACATGCTTTCCTTAAAATATGTCCTTGACACTCCTCCCAAAAAGTAGGGGCATCTATGCTCCCACCCTTTGAACCTGGGCAGAACTTTGTGGCAACCTCAACCAATAAAGTGTGGCAGAAGTAATGCCATGTGAATTCCAAAGGTAGACCATAAAAAATGCCACATGCTTTTGCCTGCCCTCTGGGTACCATTACTCTTGGAATCTAGACTCCTTATTGTAAGAAGTTCAACTAGCCCACATAGAGAGCCTCCACAAAAAATAGAAAAAAAAAAAAAGAACAAAAAAAAAAAAAAAAAAAAAAAAAAAAAAGTGAAGATGCTCTAGAGCCTGCAGCTGTCCAGTGACCCTGAGCCTTTGAGTCTTTCCAGATGAGGCCCCAGACATTGTGGAATATAAACAAGCCATCTTTCCTGCTCCCACCTGAACTCCTGACCCAAAGAATTACTGAGTTTTTTTAATAAAATGTTTCATTCTACAAAGTTTTGGGGTGGTTTGGTATTCAGAAATAGTAACCAAAAGATAACCCACTAGAATATAAACTTAAGTCCATGGTAACATAAACAATTTAATAAATTGAAAGTTTAGTGAGGAATGGGATATCTTACATGGTTTCCAAGCATCTCCCCACAAAATACTTGTTAATAACCAAAGGGGAAAGTGTAATTCACAGAAGTCTGGCAGACATTCAGTTAAGAGACACTGTACAAAATACCTAACCTGCAATCTTCAAACGTGTCCAGATGATACAAGGGCGCACTATTCCTAATAGCCAAAATGTGGAAACAACCCAAGTGTCCACCAAATGTTGACTGGATGAACAAAATATGGCATACCCATACCACAAAATAGTATCTGGCAATAAAAGTAACTAGGTACTGATGCACGCTACAACATGAATGAATCTCGAAAACATGACGCTAAGTGAAAGAAGCCAGACGCAAAAGTCCTCATACTGTCTGATTCCATTTACGTGAAATGTTCAGAAAAGACAAATCTACAGAGATAGAAGGTAGATTAGCAGTCAGCTGCGGGTGGGAACGGGTAGTAACTGCACATGAATAGGTTTTTGGGGAGAGTGCTGGAAATGTTCTAATATTAGATTATGTTGTTGGTTGCATAACTCTATAAATTTACTAAAAATCAACTAATTATACACTTAGAAAAAGATCATGGAAGGAAAAACTAAGAACTGTTCCAGATTGAGAGAGACTAAAGATAACTAAATTCAATGCGCAATTCTAACTAGATTCTTTACTATAAATGATGTTATTGGAACAACTGGCAAAACTTCAATGGAGTCTGAGGATTAGATGGTAATAAATTGATCTCCTGATTTTGATGGTTGTGTTCTGCATATATATGAGAATGTTCTTATTGTAGGAAACAGACAATATTGGGGGTAATGTGGCATCATTTTTGTCAACTTAGTTTCAAATGATTCAGGGGAAGAAGTTCTTTGTACTGTACTTGCAACTTTCTATAAATCCGAAACTATTTCAAAAAAAGTTTTAATGTGCAAGCTATAAAACAAAATCAGTTAAACTCGAGTTAAAGAAATGCCAGGTAAAAAAATGAATGCCAATTTTTTATTATCAAAACAGTAACTTAAAGATTGATAATATCCTCTGGTAGTGAGGATAAGTAGAAAAACTGTACTTTCTGCATGTTTACAGGACAACTGGCAGTACCTCCCAAGATCTTAAATAACAATTTCTGTAAGCCCGCAATTCCACTTCTATACCCTCTTATAACCAAACCCCTCCTCCCTCAAGGATAAGCTTGGTGCCCCTCGAGGAATTCCCAGAGTGGCCAGTTTATACTTATTTCATTGCACTCACCTCACTACGTTGTAATTATCTACTTCTACACCTATTTTCCCTATTGGACTGAACTTCTTCAGGGCAGGAATCATGTTTTCTTTGCACATCTGGGCCTATCACTGAGGTTCAAAATGGAAAGGCTATGGAGGGTTGGTGACTTGGAGTCCAAGATATTCCAAGTGAATAGATCAGCATCAGAAAATGACTGAGGTAAGGTAGTAAAAGTCTGAATATACTGGGCAAAAGGTAAGTAAAACCAAAAAGGTGGACTGGAATAAAACGAGAGATGAGCGGGGCAGGGAGGGTTAACAGTGGGAGAACCTTTTCGTGGGTAATAAAGAAACATGAAGTGTTTGAGAAGCTGATTTGGAATGGACACGCTTTTCAGACAAGTTATCTATGTGAAAAGTATATCTCAGCCTCAGTAGAAAGTGAGCTTGAAGGATCATTTAGCATTTTAGAACTGGGAGATATAAAAATCATAGGAAGTAAAGTTAAAAATAATAAAATTAGGGCTTCCCTGGTGGCGCAGTGGTTGAGAGTCCGCCTGCCGATGCCGGGGACACGGGTTCGTGCCCCGGTCCAGGAGGATCCAACATGCCGCAGAGCGGCTGGGCCCGTGAGCCATGGCCGCTGAGCTTGCGCGTCCGGAGCCTGTGCTCCGCAACGGGAGAGGCCACAGCAGTGAGAGGCCCGCGTACAGCAAAAAAAAAAAAAAAAAAAAAAAACTAATAATAAAATTATTAACAATAAAATTCACTGAATTGGGTTCTAGCCTTCAAAAGCATAATTTAACAGAGGAGCTGTCAAGAACCTCGTGGTGGCATTCCTAAATATTAAGCACAAGGTCACTTTCAAGCCCCGACTGGCTTCCTTGGCCAGAGCATGCCTCAAAAATCCTTTATGCTTTCCACTCACTTTATCAGACTTGCCGTTATTTCCTCCTTAAAGTCCCACTATCCTCTCTATCCTTTGGGGTTCTTCTTTCCCCAAAGCGGGTAAATAGAACTGTCCAAGGTTAAGACCACCATCCACATATATCCAAAACAAAAAAGCTAAATTTTTTGCTTGCAAAGAAATCTGGCCTTACAAAGCAAGTGCTGATCTTATCACAGTTTTGAGAAGCAAGGAGTACAGGGATTGGTACACTCCCAGAAGCAGTTTAGGGATTGGCCAATTTTCACAGGATGGTTCCCAAGGCTGCTACTGACAGGCCGACCCTCAGGAGGAAGGCACTGAAAAGAGACTTCCAGTGACTGGGCAAGTTTTAAAGGGCTCAGCAGTTACTTGTTCAAGGCTTGGGAGGAGGGTCAAGGAAGTCTGTCTTCTTCAATTTGGAGAATCGGAGCTTTTTATTCTCAACTGTAAGTGCCCCCATTCCCTCATCATTGCTATTGTGGTTCCCCGCCCCCTCCCAAAACAAGTACACAGATCCATTCTTAATTTAAAAAAAAAAAAGTTTCCTCTTTTCAGCAGTTTGCTGTTTTAGGGAAACCAAGTAAAGATAATAAAAAATAAAACGTAGGTAAATCACAGAAGTTTCATAACCTTAAAACAATTCTTTCAAAATCCTTGGTCTACTGTTGCCAATCACTTTGGGGAACAGAAGGTGACTTTTACCATTATTTCTCCATTCTAAGAGATGCAAGATTTCATAAAGAGGACCCAGTGGATTAATTAACTAGGAAAGAAGTTGTTCAGTGCTTCCATATCTATAGATCCTTTATTGATGCTGTTCTCTATATATTCTTAGTACTCAGTTAAATCTGTATCTTCACCATTAGAAAACAGCACGCTAATGCAGCTGCACTAATCTATCAACCTCTGTTCATAGTAAATTACCTTTAATTTCACAGTGTGTGGTAGACACGGAATTACCAAAAATTGCGCTGATGTGCACAAGAAAATATTACTTCCCAAAGAGGCACTTAAAGGGTTTCTTTTGTTGCTTTTTAGTATCATGATTATTTAAGAATATTCCATTATTGAAAAAGTACACTGCAAAAAAGAAAATCATTCAGGTAATATAATACTTTTTAAAGCCACAGAACTTGCTTTTCAGTTCCTGTGAAATCTAAGTTCTAAAAAGATTTCACTTCAGAAGCAACCCCACACAATCATCTCACGAGCAAAAGATTCTGGAGCTGCACTGCCTGAGCTCAAATCAGCTCCACAGCTGACTAGCTGTGTGATCTTCGACAAGTCACTTAATCCTGGGGCCTCAGTTCCTTCTGCACAACCTACTCTGAGAAGCACTTTTGAGAAAGAACAGTTTAATACAAGAAAAGCACTTAGAACATAAGGCTGTGAGTTGCCATTATCTAACTCCAAAAAATCTACATGAAATGTCCCAACTATTGGAATACAGGTTTGTTGTTTTTTTGTTTTTAAGTAACTTTAAAAACACATAATATTCAGGGATTTCCCTGGTGGCGCAGTGGATAAGAATCCGTCTGCCAATGCAGGGGACACGGGTTCGAGCCCTGGTCCGGGAAGATCCCACATGCCGCGGAGCAACTAAGCCTGTGCGCCACAACTACTGAAGCCCGGGAGACACAACTACTGAAGCCCGCACGCCTAGAGCCCGTGACCCACAACAAGAGAAGCCACTCCAAGAAGCAGCCCACGCACCGCAAGGAAGAGAAGCCCCGGCTCGCCTCAACTAGAGAAAGCCCTCGCGCAGCAACGAAGACCCAACGCAGCCATAAATTAATTAATTAATTAATTTAAAAAAAAAAAACCACACAGTATTTGTACAATGCATGAAAGCAAGATTCAAAGGTCAGGAATACCCCTTCTCAGACTTGTGGCCTTCAGCAAGTCATCATCTTTCAGTCAGTCTCCCCACTTGTTAAACAGTGCCCTAACAGGTGTGCGACATCCAGAGTGGCGGCCACGGCAGAAAGCTGGGGCGTGACCCCTCAAAGGGACTTCAACCACAAATTCACCAAAAGCACATCGCAAACCTGGGTTCAAGTTAAAAAGGTGTCCCAGATCTCTGCAGCTAAAAATCTTTTAACAACTCCACCTTCACCTCCCGTCACCGACCTTCAATTCCTAACCCTAAATCCAGCTCTCACGTCCTCACCACCGCTCAGATGGACGGGTGAGCATCTCCGCCCCACTCCGGTCCACCCTCCAGGCCAGCACCAGTTCCCTTCCTGCACACAGGTCTGTCACTTCCACGCCTAAAGACCACTGGCTCAACACAGCTGCATCTCCAACCGGAATATCAAAGTTCGTTCAGCTCTAAGTAAGTCACGCACGCACTACTTCACTTCCAAAGATGAACACGCACTTCCCAGAAGCCGCACTTTTCACGCGGTCCTCTCCCCAAGACGCTCCCCACAACCTTGACTCCCCGCCCCACCTATCTGGCGAGACCTGGGTACCCGCCGCTGTCTGCCCGCACTTGCCCATCTGCATTGTAAATCACCACACAGAAGAGTCCTTCAGGTCTCAAGAGACTGCCATTACCCATTCCATTCAATTAGAACGAGTTTTAAGAGCATTCAGGTAAGCCTCCCATTGAAATTCAAAGAAAATACTTTAAATATTTAACTACTTATCATTTTGCAACTGTGTACAGGGTGAACTGGTGGCTACAGGTTTGGACGTTCCAAAGCCAAGTGAGAGGAGAAATTCTGCACCCAGACTACGTCAACGCAGGAAGCGACGACATATGAAAAGTTAAAACGTTCATGTCAACAACTGCATGTGGTCAATATTCACACCAAACGCTCAGGGGTGAAGGAACTGGGCTTTGCTACTGGCTGTTCTCTCCTCCTGAGAGACAGCCGCCACAGCGCAGGCCGGGTGAGCTCGCATCCGCTCGGCCCGCGTCCGCACTCGCTCCGGGCGGCTCCCCGGGTCCCCGTCCCGCCGCCCTCCGCACGCCCGGCCCTCCCCAGCCGCCGCCCAGTCCCCGCGTCCCCCTCACCCCGGTCCCGTCCCCCCGCCCCGCCCCCCGAACCCCCATCCCCGCCCCCTCCCCACCCCCGGCCCCCACGTGACGCGGAGGAACGACGGGCGCCCTTCTGGCGGCTAGCCCCGCGCCTGGAGAACGTCGCGGGATTCGTGAGGCGGCCCCGGGCCGCGGGGTGTGGGCGGGATGGGGCGGGGCCGCCGCCGGGACTTCGCGGGCCGGGCCGGGCCGGGCCAGGGGCGTCGGCGCGGGCCGGGGTTACCTACCGCTGGGCGACCGCAGCGCCGCCGCGTCCCCCGCCGCTCTCGCCGCGCCCGCTGGGGCCCCGCGCCCGCCCGCCTCAGCCCCGCGCGGCGGGACCCCGGCTCGGCGCGCGCCCACCCCGCGCGACCCCGTCCCCTCCTCCCAGCTCGGCCAGAAAGAGAAAATGGCGCTCGATTGGCCTCCGGAAGTGACGCGCGCCCTCATTTGCATGCCGGAGCAGCCAGCCAATGGGGGAAGAGTGTGCAAGGGACCCCTGGGCACTGCCCCACAGGCCCCTAGGGGCCCCTGTCTTAAGCTGGACTGGAGACTCAGCAGTGGGAATGGGGGTCTGTATTGAAGCTCCCTCCCCTGACACCCCTCCTGCCACAGTGGACTGGCCTGCCAACCTCTCACCAGCATCTGTGCAAACTCTCGTGAGAGTTTGAGAGGGTGATGATGTCATTTGAGGGGGTGGGGCGAGTGTGTCGTGCCACGTGACCAATCACGTGGGTTCACCAGAGCTTTGATTTCATTTGCATGGGGTGGGGTGGAGCTAGTGGCAGCAGCAGGAATGGGTGGCCCCGCCCACATCTCAGAGCCAATGGGAAACCAGATGTGAGGAGAAGCCTGCCCTGCTATTGGAGGATAGAACTTGGACTATCAGAACTTTGACAAGTATGCCCTTGATTGACACATCTTAGTGAACTGACTGGATAGGGTCTCCTGACTTAGTAATTATTTTCTAAGAAAATTAATGTCACATCTTTTCTTGAGAATTCTGATTTTTAAGTTAAAGCTACTACATGTGTAGGAAAAAAGTTAATTGCATACATTTGTTAAATCTCTTAAACGGCCTAGAAGTTCACTTATGCCCAACTCTTTAAAAAATTGTGAGGCAATAATTATTTTTCAAAATGAATGAAATCATGGAGTAGGAGGCTTTCAAAATGCCTTTGGGTCTTCCTTCGTGGAGTCAAGCGCCCAAGGGGGAAGAAAAGGGCCACATCGCCCTCAGAGAACTTGCAGTTTAACGAGAGGCCTGGTGTGTGTGCACACAGCTACTTTAATTTATCGCTCCTCAATAACTATTCCAGACCTTTCTCACTTCATTGAAGCTGCCGGGATAATCCTCAGCTTCCTTTTCAGCAGAAGACCATGTCTCCTCCTTCTTCCAGAACACCAAGACCATCAGACCTGGTCTCCCTGGAACCCACTCCTGGCCCCACGCACACGCCTGTTTCCTGAGCAACCGTCCTGATCAGAGGCTGCGTCTGCTCACGCCCATGGCCAGCACCTTCACCCCTGGCCTGTTTGCCCTGCCCAGCACCTCATTGTCCAGCCCTCCCTCTCCCGTAATTCCAGCTTCTCTCTTTCTACTGGTAACTTCTGTTCAGTTTAGCCCAGTGACTAAAAACATGACAGGCACTAAATAAATGTCTGAGTTAATTTAAAAATTGTGTTGAGGGCTTCCCTGGTGGCGCAGTGGTTAAGAATCCGCCTGCCAATGCAGGGGACACGGGTTTGAGCCCTGGTCCGGGAAGATCCCACATGCCGCGGGATCCCACATCCCACATCCCACATGCAACTGAGCCTGTGCTCCACAACTACCGAGCCTGTGCTCTAGAGCCCGCGAGCCACAACTGCTGAAGCCCACGCACCTAGAGCCCGTGCTCCGCAACAAGAGAAGCCACAGCAATGAGAAGCCCACTCACTGCAAAGAAGAGTAGCCCCCGCTCGCCACAACTACAGAAAAGCCCGCGTGCAGCAACGAAGACCCAAAGCAGCCAAAAATAAATACATACATACATAAAATTTATTTTAAAAAATTGTGTTGAATGCTGGGCTGATGTTACTTAGCCACAATTTGCTTTTTTCCTACAGGAATACAGGCCATAATTGAAGGAGAATTTGCTCTTTATAGTTATTTATGAATCATGATTTAATTTGATAATAAATCACAGCAGTAAACGGGTATGACGTCCCTAGATATCTTTCTTCAAGTAATTATGGGTGTGATGAAAAGTTAAAGCCTTCCAGTCACCCTTGATCTAGACCACGGCGCTCCAGTATGGAGGAATTGTGTCACATTTCTCCCGATGCCTCAGCTGCTTCCACTCCTCACCCTGTGCTCTCGTCCCCACCCTCTGCACTCTGCAGATATCCCTTTGCTACCAGTGACCTCCCGACTGTTACACCCATGAACAGATTTTAGCCTCATCTTTTATTTGTAACCTCCTCCCTGTCCTGAAACACTTCCTTCCCAAACATGACCTTTAATCTTCTCCACCCTCTTTGATCGGTCCTTACACCTTTACCAGCTTCCCTTTCTCAGCCCATCCTTGAATGTTTGTCCCAGAATTCTTCCCACTTTTGTTCATATTCATCACCACGTCCTATGTGCCAGGCACTGTTCCAGGTATTGGAAACCCCATCCCTTTCATTTATCACTCTCCATACTCTCCCTTGTTAGTCTCAACTGCAGATTCAAACTTCATTATTTCGATTCCAGTAATGAAGTGTATCCACCTCTTCCCTAAGTTTCAGCTTTGTCCAGTAATGAAGTGTATCCACCTCTTCCCTAAGTTTCAGCTTTGTTTTCTGGCTGCCAACTTGGCAGCTCCACTTGGGTGCCCCTCTAACTGAGAGGTGCCCCTCTCAGTTCAAGGCTGAGGCCATCATCCCTCCTCAACAGCCCCTCTAACCGTAAGCAGCATGCTTACCACCCTTCATCTTTCCCATCTCCACTTTTCTAATTTTACATCCTAATGCTCCTCAAATCTGTTCCCCCACCTAGAGCCCTCTTACCATGTGTGCACCTCCTGACAGGAACACCTGCACAGTCAGGCACCGACCTGACCTCCAGCTTTGGTGTCTCAGGGATGCTCTGCAGTCAGCTAGGTAGAGGCGCGGCAAAAAGCGAATCTGACCCTGCCGTTTCCATTCTTACCTTCAGCCATTCCACCTCCCCGCACCACCAAGGAGCAAGCCCAGCTGGCCAGCTTGGAACACAAGCCCCCCAGAGCTGACCAGTCCAGCCCATCTCCCGCTGCTGCACACACTATACAGGGTTTGTTCATGGAATTCCTTCCTTCCCTACCACCTGACCTGATCTCTATCCCATTGCCATTCGAGGCTGAGTTCTGGTGGCTTCTCTTCCAGGAAGATCTCCCTGACCACCACCACCGCACAAATACACATGGCGAAATGTGGTGGGTTCTTCTTGACATGCCCAGAGAAGTCTGTGTGTA